ATCAATGTAATTGAGATGAGGACGCCACCTAGGTTTGATTCTATAACAAATTAACTTAAGTTAATGGCTACCTATTTCTTCACTTCAAGTATTTAGTAATCTTGAGGTAAAGAAAAACAAACTTGCTGATAATCAAAATGTAATGTTTAATAGGAAACGCCATTTAACAATACATAGGCCTAATTATATCTAACTAATGGACGAATTAGAAGTTTTTCAATTTACAATTCAGAATCTCTATTAGCCAACATGTGCTCAGTATTGAAATAGACAACGTGCTCTTCAAAACGTTCAACAATATAGTGGGTGAATTACTCTACTCCAACAAAGTGTACTGGCGTTAATTTTTACAGGGCTTAAGAGTTCAAACAGCTTTAAGTGCATTAATAATACTTGGCAAATAGTATCTTGTTTCAAAATTATAGGCAGAGTCACGAAATAGGGCAGACTTATTGCTCGCCACTCCCAGGCTGGCTGCCTTCTACAAAAATCGCCGGGCAAAATACCCACAATACCTTAATTGCCACCAGCACAAAAGGTTTTTGTGACGAAGTAATCTTATAATTTATTTTGATAGCCCCAGGATTTCCTTTTATTACTAATAATGGTAGAAACGTATCTTGTCAGACAATCCTTAATAATATGTACCGTAATGTCGAATTTGACTTGCTACATATGTTCGGGTGGTTCTTGAACTCCACTATCGTCAAGCTTACAAAAGGATCCACTTCTGGAGGTGTCGTCAGAATACGTTACTAATATTAAACACAAAACACGAAACGATAACAGATAGGCCTATCAATTCACACGTGTATATTGCCGCGGGCAGGACTGGGAGTAAACTGAATCAGGTTATATGACGGAAAGACGTGGTCTCTGGATTGTCGTCTGTGTTATCAAAAGCTGACATTGGACTAATTGTAGTGACGGAGGAGAGTATTGAAAATATAATGGGATTCATAATTGAGTTTTCCATTCAAAATTATTGACAATAGCCTAATAACCAAATTATATACTGGATATAAATTATGGTCTCAAAATTCTACAGTACTGCGCAAAAGGAAATTTATTAAATACTTTGGAAGAGTTTGAAATATATAAATAGGGACATAAAACTAGGGACAGCACACAAATTTTGAATGAAAACACTCAATTAATTATGAATGCCATTATATTTTAAATACTCTTCTCAGTCACTAGGGTACCAAATAGTGCAATATCAGCTGTTGAAAACGCAGACGATAATCCAGAGACCACGTCGGTCCGGGTCCGTCGCATAACCTGAACCTGATTCAGTTTAGGAAACCTTGTTTCTGAAAGCGCTAGTAAATAAAATAAAATAATTATATATTGGCCTTGTTGAACTTGTAAATTTAATTATACATTTCATTATAATTGCAATATCTCCAATATAAAATATATCAAGGATTGTCTGACAAGGTGCGTTTTACCATTCTTAGAAGCAATCTTAAGAATGGCAAAATGTTGATAGTGAGCTACTTAGAAACACCTTTTCAGGCTGCTTATACAAAATTAGACATTCATTACGACAACTAGCAAAAAAAATCCCCCGCAAAAATTCCTGTGTCACAAATGCGCCACAGCACCCCCCCTCCCCCTCTGGACACCCCTGCCTAGGTGGTGTCCCCAGTCTCAAATAATTGATAATTGAAAATAGAAGGGTTCAAACCCTGGTCATGTTAGGTATTGTCTAACGTCGATCTTCTGTTTGATAGCATAAATTAGTATGCCTTGGATGGCATCTAGGTCCAGCAACGATTCGATAGGAATCAAACTAGCGACGTCTCTAGTTTTAACATAATTAAAACTTACTTTTATTTTAGTTCAATCTAAATACGACAGTAAACTTAAAGACCGTTTGTTATTTATACAGATTATTGCTGGATAGATTGTTGGTTCCCATCTAATGTCAAGATTGTGGGTTCCCATCTATAGTCATGTTAGTACACGCAAATTAGGCTACGTCACAGCATAAACCTGTTAGCAAGCATAGGCCTAATCCTTCTAAATATTTTATTTAGATACCTCTGTTCCAAAACGGTATAGACCAAGATATACTGTATTTAAAGTACTTAATTATTCACACTAAACAGGCTAGGCTTTTTAGTAGTACCGTACCCACCAGTAGTAATGGTTTCTTGCACAGTGCGGGTAGTGGTCGCAGGGGTGTTAAGGAGCTCGTTCATTGTCCAACAGAAGGTTGTGATGGTACAGGCCATCTCAGCGGCAGCTATGGAACCCACAGAAGGCAAGACAATTCAATAATCTGGTGACTACACTGCTGTTTCTATCCTGTCGCTCTCTTTTGATTCTCTACAAACTTTCCTAGTACTTATACTTGTCTTGTTTGTTGTCTGCATCGTGGATTAGTGTGTAGCCCTTCTGATTTGTATCTGTGTCCAACTAGTTTGTGGTGGTTGTCACAATCCTCATGACATGGAGTCTTTTATGACTTGAGTTGAATGGTTTTCCGACTGAGTCAAACTGCTTTCTAAATTCTGAAATCATTAATCTGCCCTTATAGCTCTAAAATACCTGTGCTTCATCAACATGAGCTTAGGTCTGTAAGGATTTAAATAGACTAGGCCTGATTATCTGCTTTGAAGATGTTTGATACAGCAGATTGTCAACAAACTTTAGACCTATTACAAAAGGCTTGTGTATTTTTAGTATCTGTACCTTCATTTTTTTGTTTTTGTTTTTTACAGTTTAAGAACCAACGAAGAAAGCAATTGGAGACAGGGCCGGTTCTAGGAATTTTTCAGAGTTAAGCGAACACCCGAATCAGCGCCACTTAGAATTCCATGAACAACTTAACCGTATTTGTGAATTTTTTCCCAATGATTTTGGGAAGCACTTTTTTATAAGTTTAGGTTAGAAGAATACTTGCAATAAAAGACTGTTTATTATTAGCAGAAATTTAACATTTTTACACTTTTACTCATCATATAAACTTTAGCAAAACCAAGGCCACGCTAAAAAACAGACCGTAATGCTCGTCAAGCATGACGTCATGATAGAAGACGGCAATGGCATAATGTTTGCCGTTTGTGATCAGCTGCTTGTTTTAATTTGGAAAATAAATAAATTAATACCTACGTCATTGCCGTCTTCTATCGTGACTTCTTTGGGCTGACTGGACTCGCCACCAGATGATTTAAACAAAAATCTACTTATTGATTTGGCTTGTTTTTTATCTTCCTCTTCCAAATTCGCTTACGCTTTCTATAAGTGCTAGACGGTTTCTTTTTTTCTGCCATTGTTTTCTTAGTATCGGCTCGTAATATGTTTTACTCGTTCATTCAGTTTATACTTTCTTCTTATTTAATGCGCTAATTATAAATTAAACTTAAATTACTCGTAATCATTCACTTATCAACATCAACAATCATGAATCATCAAAACGATGCCAATACGATACCGATACTGTGTACTTATAACGTATACAACTAAAAGAGTGCAATACAACGTAATGTTCTGCTCTAGGATCAGAGGCAGAAGGGAGGGAAGGGCGGGGGATGTGGGGTAGCGGATTTTTATCCCCCTGGAATTTTACCCCCTGGGCAAACGTGACGTCACAAACCAGGGGGTAAAATTCCGGCCGCGAACTTTTGAGTTTCGCGACATCAGCTCGATGGATTAAATGCGGAATTAAACCTATATTTTCACGGTTGTGAGTTTAATCAGAACACATCAAATTATAAAAACCTAGAATGTACGGCCCGGATTTTTACCCCCGGAATTTTACCCCCCGGATTTTTACCCCCTGTCCAGATATAAATTAGTGAGAATGATTAATTATCGTCATTCAATTTTAATTTAATGGTAAACATTTCATTATTAAGTAGCCTATCTTAATTTATATGCAACATTAACTATTCGAACAGGGTTTTAATATTAATTTTGAGATTCGAGTGTCAGGATTCGATCTTTGAAGCCAACTGTTGGTTAATATGATCAAAATAAAACAGCGAATTCTGTTTACTTAGTTGAGATTACAAAATAAATAAATAAAGATAGGCTACTAAATAATGAAATGTTTACAATTAATTAAAAACAAAAATAAGAAAATCAATCATTCAATTTCTAAAATCAGCCAGGGGGTAAAATTCCGGGGGGTAAAATTCCGGGGGTAAAAATCCGGCCCGTACATCTTCAGTTGCCTAATCGCTAGTTATATGGACAGGGGGTAAAATTCCGGTTTTTATCGCTAATCTAATTAATCACGCTCTGACTATTTTCATTAGACTTCCAAATCCGCGGGGGTAAAATTCCGGCCGCGAACAAACTTTTGGCCACTCAGGTTACTACGTCATAGTGACGTCAGCTTTGCCCAGGGGGTAAAATTCCAGGGGGATAAAATTCCGGCGACCCGGGGATGTTTCTTGTTGTCACAAGTGGCGCTGCGCGCTTGCTTATCTCGACTAGTGAGAGAGTCCGAGTCGTGAAATGAAACCCACAGGCGTCGCGCTGTACGCTGCCGACTCCGACTGCCGAGCGCCAGCTCACTACAGATCGAAACTGCAAATGGCATCGAGTCCTTGAGTTGTAGTGCTGTACAAATATACGCATTTTTCAAGTGCTGTTGGTACAAACAGAATAAATGCCTTTACTGTGGTGCTTTGAATACTTGAACTCTGAGAAAAAATAAGCAAAATTACGTTGTTTACGTTAAAAAAAATTGTTCCGTTGGCGCCACGGCGCCACTTTTTCGTGGCGCCATATGCGGCCGCGTAGTTCGCGTATGGGTTAAACCGGCCCTGATTGGAGAAAATGCTAATGTTCACATTAAAGGCATTTGGTGAACCATTGTGTTAGTGGACTATTTAACATAGTCTTACTTGGTTATTATTAGCACTTTTCTTGGATATAATGATCATAGGAAGACTACAATTTTCAATATGGTAGTTTTTTATTTTAAATACCTTATTACCAAGCTCATTGTATCTCTTGACTTCACTTCTCCCTCCCTGTTACAGTTTGTCTGGGTGTCCCCGGGCTGACAGGACGCAGATCCATCCCCACTCTCAAGAGCTTAAGTGTCCCACGCCCGGCTGTGACGGGTCAGGACATGTTACAGGCAACTACTCTTCTCACCGCAGCCTCTCGGGTTGTCCTCGGGCCAACAAGCCCAAGAGCAAACCTAGAGATGGTCAAGACTCTGAGCCTTTACGGTTAGTATTTAATGAGTTGTTTTTTTTATATTTTAATCACTTTGATATCATAGGCTAACATTTGGTATTGTAACAAAACAATTGAAATGGTTTATAATTTAATTTAATAATGTTTTGAGGTTTAATTCAAAGACAAAAAAATCTTTTTTATAAAATTTTATTGGTTACTTAATGGGTTTCAAAAATATCTTGTTGAATGAAGGTAAAAGGGCATCATCAAAATATAGGTCTACCAATTTAGAACTCCTAGCTAGATCAATTGGAGGGCATCCTATCTAGATTAAAAACTTATAAAAAGAGTATAACACAGTGGCACAAGGCAGTTGACTTGTTGCCCGCCAATCGGTACAACAGTACAATATACTTAACTTACCACATGTTGCACACATTTGCCGATCAATAAAATATACAACAGAATAAACAAAAAATGCTTACTTATTAACCACGAATAAAACATAAACAAATGATGTTTTTGGCTCGAAAGTAAACAAAACCCCTATACTAATAGCATTAATTAATATATGGTTTTGTTTACTTTCGGGCCAAAAACGTCATTTGTTTATGTTTATGACCCATACAGGATCTTTTCTACTATTCAAGTTATTAACTATTTCTGGCAACATTTTTTTCACTCAACATTTTGCTGAAGTGACCTGGATGATTAGAGTTCTACTGTAGGCCTACTCTTTTAATATTTTAATCACATTCATATTAAAATATTAACCCTTTAGAGACCGACACTGTAGTATATGAGGCGCTGCCTAGGACCAGGGTACTTTGGACAGTTTCTGCAATGTTAGAAAAAATAATAGGCCTATAACTACTGAATAGCAGCCCTCATTAACATTTATTGCGTGCTGTTGTTGATTTTTTTATACTTTAATTTGTTAGATTTCTTTTTTTTAGATAATTGTTAATTGAAACTGCCAATATATCGGAAGTTCGCCTTTTTAGTAAAAAAATTCTAACTTCCGAAAAATCGGAAGTTGGTCTCCTAAGGGTTAAAACTTTCACTGTTCAGTTCTCATATTAAGAGAAACATTTTTTATTCTATCCATGTCAGCAACATATATTTTTTGAATATTTAATATTTTTGGTGAATAATATTTTTATGTAATAAATTAATTCTATTTCGCCTTTGGAAAAATTTCCAGAATCCACACGAAAGTAAAATTTATGAGTAGCCTATAAACTGATAATAGTTTTAAAGGAATACGAGCTGTTGGCCTGTCCTATGTAAGGGAATCGAGTAGTCCATTAAAACTGTATATATTGTGTCTATTCCTAATTCAAGCATAGTTTAAGTAGTGCAAAATATATTGTAAAGAAAAAGCTGCCAAGATGAATTAAAACATGTGATCATTGTTATTTTCCCAACCTTTCTTTAAAAAGTCGATTAGTAAAATAATTTTCATAAACTTTCTTTTGAAGTCTCGTGAGCTTCAATTCTTATATAACAACGGTTATAGAATCTTACTTATTTCATATGATCAATAACAAAATCAAAGAGTAAATAAACTATAACCACAAATTTCTATAGAATATTTATTAATCCAACCAGCTGTTAGTTATAACAAATTATATTGCACTAAAACAAACTAAATATTTTAAAGAATGCTCAAAAAAATAAATTAGAATAGGGATGGTCGAGATTGGATTTTTAGTTCGAGACGAGACGAGACGAGATTTTTTATTTCTCATAAAATTTCGAGACGAGATCGAGACGGGATTTCCCTTCTCATACACAACGGGAAATGCACGTTAAAAATGTTTACCTGATTTTGTAACATTGTTAGATGACTGTTTAAATACAAAAATAATGATAATAGGCAAGAATATTTACAATATTTTATTAAAAAACATCAGCATAACATTTTTTTATTAATCACGCCTAACTTAATAAAAATGCCTACGATTAGGAAACATAGTGATATCAGTTAGGACAGAGTTCAACTTATCCTAAAATAAAATAAAACAAAATTAAAGCAATATTAATTTTTATAAAATAGTTACTTGTTTTGACTTTTTATAGTAATAACACATTCCTCACACTGCTTACACTTAACAAAACTTCTCAAATGTTATTAAAGTAATATTTACATTAGGGATGGACGAGATTGGATTTTTAGTTCGAGACGAGACGAGACGAGATTTTTTATTTCTCATAAAATTTCAAGACGAGATCGAGACGGGATTTCCCTTCTCATACACAACGGGAAATGCACGTTCAAAATTTTTACCTGATTTTGTAACATTGTTAGATGACTGTTTAAATACAAAAATAATGATAATAGGCAAGAATATTTACAATCTTTTATTAAAAACCATCAGCATAACATTTTTTTATTAATCACGCCTAACTTATTAAAAATGCCTACGATTAGGAAACATAGTGATATCAGTTAGGATAGAGTTCAACTTATCCTAAAATAAAATAAATCATAAAATAAAAGCAATATTAATTTTTATAAAATAGTTAGGTACTTGTTTTGACTTTTTATAGTAATAAAACATTCCTCACACGGCTTACACTTAACAAAACTTCTCAAATGTTATTGAAGTAATATTATTAAAATAATTAAAGTAATATTTACATTTAAAGAATTAATTAAATAAGAACGCCTCCGCAAAGGAAACGCAACTACAACACGCTCCTGTATTGCGGGTATTGCATTAACTTTCTGCAGGCGTTTTTAATTTTTTTTTTTTTTTTTTTTTTTTTATTCTCGTCTCGATAAAAATCTCGGTCAAAAAGAAATCTCGTCTCGTGTAACGAGATTTAAAATTTCCCGAAAATTTCCCGAAATTTAGAGATTTGACCATCCCTAATTTACATTTAAAGTATTAATTAAATAAGAACACCTTCGCAAAGGAAACCCAACTACAACACGCTCCTGTATTGCGGGTATTGCATTGACTTTCTGCAGGCGTTTTTATTTATTTATTTTTTTTTTTAATTCTCGTCTCGATAAAAATCTCGGCCAAAAAGAAATCTCGTCTCGTGTAACGAGATTTAAAATTTCCCGAAATTTCGAGACTTGACCATCCCTAAATTAGAACATTTAGTATTTTACTATGTATATTTAAATAAACTCTCATCCTCTTACCGAATAAATGAATGTATCAATTATTATAGCATTACACATAGTATAAATAAGTGAATCTCATTTCATTTTCATCCAAATGCTGAATTTGTGTCAAAACGCTGAATGTTTACAGCTGTTACGTTAAGCAAATGGTATTATACCAAAAGCTAGAGTAGAATGTTAGCGTGGGCTGCTAGACTTTTTAGAATTTAAAACTTAGTTTCTAAAAAACTGAAACCCTAAACTAAAATTATGGCTTCGACATTCCCTAGTTCTCAAAATTATCTTTCTTTCAACACAAAAATCATAAAAATCCGTCAAGTTCAGAATCGTGAAATAAAAAAACCCTGTTACGTTTTAATATATAAGATAAAAATATTAGTCAAGCCAACCTGTTCTAACATAAATCTTACTTATTGGAACCATATGTTTTCCTCTGAGTGCAAATAAATTTTGTATAGTAAAATATGCAAAGTAAATAACAAAAACCCCTGCTGCAGCAAACCTGCCGACTAAGCGAATTTCCATTTGCCTGGATTGATTTTCAATTAATATATTAAATTAACATGTATGTTTAACGAGTACCTAGGTTAGCTGCTACAGGGAAACTAATAATGTGTGATTTTCATTAAAATATGAATAGCTTAGTATGAAATAAATAAATCCGCCAAGTTTTATCAAAATACATCCATAAACAAGCCAACTACTGTAGGCGAGAGTTAAGAAGTCCTCTGAGCTCTGGCCTATTCTAAAAATGCAGTCTCTTGCTACTCGACGTCTAGGCGCGCCGGGCGGGTTACTCATGTTCCACGCGGCAGTCAGGGGTCACATCCACTGCGTTAAAACCAAAAGAGCACCTGCAAATACCGCGCGGCAACATACAAACATTGCTGCATTCGCTCTGAGGACTTCTTTAACAGTTTACAATATTCTCCTTAAGAATAACATGGGAATTTTAAATTAACAATTTTTTGAATTTTCTCCGTAACCAATCACCGTACAAAAACACTTTGATTTACTAAATTATTTGTTTTTTTAAGCTCTTTAAATAGGTCTGGAGAAAAATTGATAAATTTTGTGTTTTAGGGTAAATAATGAGAACACCCCATTTTTACCCCATAAAACCTCCCGTTAAACCCCGTTCCCATGGTCCGATCATGCTGGTTCGCAAACTCATTCAAGTTTATCCCGCCTTTACACCTTAAAACCAAATTTTATAAAAATCAGACAAATGTATATACCTAGATATATAGGCTACATGTATGAAATTTTGAACGAATTGTGTTTCTGGCCTCTGGAGACATCAAAATGAAAAAGTAAATCGGTCCCGGGCCTAGGTCTTACCATGAGACTTACGGTAACAGCTACTTCCCTATAGGAGGGATATTCGCTAAAAGGCAATTAGCCTATATAACAGACGAGGTTCACTAGTATTGAAAGTAGGCCTACCGGTATTGCAAGTTTTTAGGTAGCATAAACAAGTGTGTATGCAAACACTAGGCAGTTTTAGTTGTGCTGATACTTGTTCTTGCCTCTAAATATATCTGTGTATGCTATAATTAAAAACTCTCTTTTCCTAATATGTTTTTCTTCAGTGAATTCTTTTGGTATTTTCTCATCAATCACAGTTCTGGTTCCCAGACTTAAAGTTAGGCCTACTTCTTTTCTTAGTTAAATATGATACTGATTCACCAGAGTGTACAGATTCGTCTTCAACCATTTCAAGACATTGATCTGATTTACAATCTATTACCTACTTAGTTATTCGTAATTACAACATCAAATATCTTATACTCAAAACTTTACTATTGAGCAAATTTCCTTCTTTACCATCACATACTACAGGGTGGCGCAGATGGATTGGGTGGTTTTAAAATACTTGTCAAACTGTCAATTTTAAAGGTATTGGATTGAAATAAAGTGCAAAACGTGTAGTCGCAATGGAAGTTTATTGACAACAAATTAGTTAAGATAGTTTTTACATCCATCAAATTACATCCATCAAATGCTTTCCTTCTTGAGCGACGCATTCTTGGAGTCGGTCCTTGAGGTTCCGCATTGCTCGCTCAAGCACATCACAAGGAATTGATGTGATTCCGTTGTGAATTGCAGCCTTCAACTCCTGAAGAAAGGGTCTACATGAACGAACCCCAGACCATTCAGAGTTGAAGGCTGCAATTCACAACAAAATCACATCAATTCCTGGTAATGTGCTTGAGCGAGCAATGCGGAACCTCAAGGACCGACTCCAAGAATGCGTCGCTCGAGAAGGAAGGCATTGGATGGATGTAATTTTTAAAAACTAACTTAACAAATTTGTTGTCAATAAACTTCCATTGTGACTAGACGTTTTGCACTTTATTTCAATCCAATACCTTTAAAATTGACAGTTTGACAAATATTTTAAAACCACCCGATCCATCTGCGCCACCCTTTATAAAACTAAATATTCAATACATTACATTTTCTATTGAAAATATGTTGCTCTCTCAAAGTGTTTTTTATAACAGATGTTGTTTAATGTCCTTTTTCCATCTTGGCTTGATACTGTATAGTGGTGTTGGGAGTTATTTAAACACTAATCCCATATTGTTGCCCTTGCTAACTAATGCAGATGCCCCATTCCTGGATGCGACGGGTCTGGTCATGCCACTGGCAAATTTCTGTCACATCGGAGGTATGTTTCTATGTGTGCGTGTCCTGGCTCTTATTTAATTCTTAACTGCATGTTACCCTCATTTGGTTTCAGTCCAAAATATTCCTCAAATTATTCCTGTTGACTCAAGTTCTACTTTCCTATAATTAGTTTAAAGAAATGGTGTTCTCAAAACTCATAGTTTGTTGCATTCTTTATTCTCCTACTTGCCATCCTGCTTTGATTTTGCACGAGACCTGTTTTATATTGTATATTCTGTAATAAGTTAGGTGTGTACAATTTTATTGAAAATAATCTTCCCATTACTTCTATAAGATACAATAATTTGTTGACACTTGAAGCTTTTGTGTTTGGACTCAATTATATAAATAGCCTTTACTCAGCTTGTAGCTTTGAAGCACCTATATTAAGTTTTGTCACACATCTTATACAGCTTTTGTGTTATTAAATATAGTAATTAAAAATTTAGCAAAGGCCAAGTAGAACTATTTGTTAAGCTTTTTTTTATCTTGACCTACTCAGTGCTCATAACTTCATCAAATTACTGACTGTGTGTCGTATTAAAGTTATATAGGTAGTAGTTCAGTCCTACTGATCTTTAGATAGTATTCACCACTTCTAATTTCTACTTGTTAGGACTCTTAGTATCTTGACATCATCTGTACAAGTGTGTGCAACCTTGTTTCTTGTTGAAATAAATCTTTGTAAATACCTACCAACTTGATGCGGCTCTCGCCGAAAGACAAATTTATTTATTGAGTAATATCGGGTGTAGTCAACAAAACCTCTCACTAAAATACTTTGTTTTCTTTTAGTCAGTATTTCAGAAACTATTAGATGTAGAGACAACTTTAAATGGGAAACTTCACCTAGTTTTTCTTCATAATTAAAATAACTAGTTCCATTTGTTTTAATAAATTATTGCCATTTTACAATATGGCGACTGAATTTTAAATTTCTTATGGAGCACCATTTATTTCAAGGGGGTTTTAGTATTAAAATGTGATTTTAAGACTTTTCATGTTTTCTCCAAGCCTACTTGTTCAGGAGCTACAACATGTTGAACATTGGAAAATGGTGGCTTGCCGTGTCAATTTACGAGATTGACATGACATGTATGAGTACCAGGCTCATATTACATTGTAGGCCTAATATGAGCCTCTTGCTTATAAGAAATTTTAAAGATAGTCCCCATATTGGAAATTAGCGACCGTTTATAAAGAAACGAAATTGATTAGCCATACTGTATTTTGATTATGATGAAAAACTAGGTAAAGTCCCCCACTTAAAATGTTCTCTAGATATAATAGTTTCTGAGATACTGGCAGTGGGACTGTTAAGCTGTTCACACAGTAAGTTATTAAAATGTGTTATTTTAAAATCTCAATTTTTAGGTTATTAGGTAGTAAGCATTTGTTTTATTAGCAAGAGATTCATACTTAATTCTATCTGCAGGTTTGCATACACTGTAAGGTAGACTTTAAATGCACGTTTTTAATGCCACTATTTTGAAATCTGTGTTAGTGTATTACCGTTCTTATAATAGTGCCAACACATACAATTCTGATGAAGAAGTTATTTACATACTTTCATTGACTTCCTTCTCCAACAAACTTAATTATGATTGAGCAGGATCCCATTGTATAGTTTGAACAGTCAACACCTTAATACTAGCCTATTGCCCACAGTGCCTCGGGCTGTCCGATAGCAAATCGCAACAAGATGAGAGTGTTGGAGAGTGGGGGGACTGTTGAGCAGCACAAGGCGGCGTTGGCAGCGGTCACAGCTGCAGCAAAACTGGACGGCATCAACTGTCCCACACCCGGCTGTGATGGCGGCGGACACATCAACGGATCGTTCCTCACACATCGCTCCCTCGGTGGCTGTCCCACGGCTACCAACCCACTGTCCGTCCCGCCTAAGAAACCCCAGTACAAGTACAGCAGCGACGACATGTACTCCAAACCACCAAATCGTGAGTATCAGACATCAAGGCAGTTGAACCCTCTTTACAGGTTGAAGTGTTCGCCATAGTCTTGGTAGAGGTGTTTTGGGAAACTGCAGTGCTTATCGAAAATGTGCAAGGACTGTTTATAGACTGCTGTCACTGTTGAAAAATATATCTTGCAGCTCCTTTTAAAAGTAAACTTATTTATTGTGTTATCTGCTACTGCTTATCAAACTAACCGTTTTAAACAAAGTTACCGGTAGGTTATTTCCCCACAAAACAAAGGACTCCATGAAAATTAATGTAAACTCCAATATCCTATACTCTAATACAAGCTATGTCCGATTGTCTGTCTGTCTGTAACATATAAATACATATTACGGTTGAAATCCAGCGGGAAGGATTTTGAATAATTTTTGGAATTAGGCACTTATAGCCCTAAAAACGTGATTGGCAACAGGCACTGTCTCAGGAAAATTTGTATTTCACTACACAATTCGTTTGGAAATTAACAAATTTATAGGTTGCCAAGTAACTATTTTGGTTGAACAAAATAACAAGGAAAAGTTAAAAGACTTGTAATGTGTTTATTACAAGCCATCCACACTACTATACTAGCAAATAAATACGGTACAGAGGGAAAACATCAGTTGTAACTATTCAGCAAAGATTAATCGATATAGGGGAAAATGTTGATGAGTGTTTCGTGTTGGTGACATTTTAGTGCACTGGCGTCAACTCAATGTTTCACTCATATTTAAGGGTAGATTCAAAATTTTTATACACTCTTTTGTTATATTTTACATAATTTGAGACAGCTGTATTCATATGAATTAGTATTAAAGTTAATTTTATTACATTAATCTTTATAGTAAACAATATATGCTTGAATCAGACTTATCTGTCTTCAGCTAATCAATCATGGAAGAGTATTTTAGAGAGTATGCTCATGCTGAAGTTTTACTTTTACTCAAAGAATGATTTAGATTAATACTACGAAATAATTCAAACCCCTTACATAAGTTATACATAAATAATTGTATTTTCCATGATAAAATAATAAAAGCTAAAATTAGTTGTAAATAAAACGTAAGTTTCCTTTATATTGCTTTTACAATCAAAATAATCTGTACTGAGCCATGGCTCGGTCCCCCAGTACTTTAATGTAGTATAAATAATGAATATACAGTTGGGTAGGCAACTGTATATTTACTTCCATAGTTGGGAAAAAAAAAATAAATGAAAACCAGTGTATAGCAAGATCTACCTGTGTAACATTGTATCTGTATTATAGAATGTGCTAGGTTAACAGTTTTCCTATATATTAAACAGATATTAAATAGAACTTTGTCTCTCTCAACATTTTTAAACAAAGTATCTTCATGAACAGATTTGGATTGAAAGTAATCAATTGCTTATATGATAACTACCAACTACCCCATTTTCCCATACCACTTTCGTGCAAAAATTCATCTTGTCAGTAGTTATGTGTAATAAAATTGAATAGTGTATCTGAGGTCTGAGCTATAACTTATTAGAGAGCAAAACAGTTGTAGCTGCAAGCAATATTCACCTGTACATCACATAAGTTGTTCAAGTAAAGATTTGTATTCATTATGGTAATTTAAGGTTTATCAGAGGAAAATGATAATTACCTTTTGGTTTAATATTTTAGTACCGTAACAATAGCCATCAAGTTAAATTACGTTATAATTCAGCCCTTGAAAGAAACACGTAGGTGATGATGTACTCTCCTTCTGATTGTTTATTTTGCAGTAATAAATTATCTTGTTAAAATTATAATTTACATAAGTTAATGTTTTTTTGTAGCATAGTTGTTTGCATTTGTGTTTTGTGAAGTTACCATTATAATATCCGTTATTGCCTATGCCATGAGTGTCTTAATACAGTTGTTTCAATGGTTCTGCACTGTGTTGTCCGTGTGAATGATATTTGTTGTTGGTTCCAGGGCTCATCTTATCAGACATATTTGATAACAAGAATGGGAAAGGTTATGTGCTGGATCGGGACTTCTACCCGGATTTCTTGTTATTCAATCAATATTGCAGTTAGGTTCCGGGCCAGCCCCCCACTTATAGTGTAGGTACTTTCCCATTCTTGTCACATTTTGTCTGCATGTTTATTTTTTATTAAAAATACAAAACTTTCTACTGTAAATTACATTTGTTCAAATGTTAATAGTTACTTTTTTTCAAAATTATAAATATCTACCATTAAATGTAACTATATCTTATGTCACTTTAAAAGGATATAACTGAAACCTAGCCTATCCTTCCCAATTATAACCTAGTAGAGGGGTAGATGTCAAATTGATTTAATTCTATAAATTATGTATGTTTTAGACTAAACTAAAACCATTCAATGAGCCCTGAAACAACCATAATATCCCAAACACAATCATCAAACGTTTAGATAGTTATAAAAAAACATTTCCACCAAAATCCTTATACTGAATCACTAATGTAGACAGTATTATTGATTGGTCAGAGGTTATACACCACAGTGCATAGAGCACAGAACCTCAGGTTGCTGGCTAGAAGCTAATATTGATTTTTCCTTCCATCACAGATTATACTCCACCCATCCACCCCTTGAGTAGCTCAGCTCATTGGCTATACTTGCATTACTCCTCAAATTATTTATTTACAAAATTAGCCATATATTATCGGTAAAAATTAATATATTTATAATCTCAGTTTTATATAATGAGTTGCATGATTATTATTAATTACTTGCTGTTACATAAGAGTTCATTTCATATAGTATAATAACATATGTGTTTTGTATACAGATTTAGAAGGCAGTGGGGGTGGAGAAGACTTGTATACACTTGAAGCTGAAATCACTGAACTACAAAGAGAGAATGCCAGAGTGGAATCTCAAATGCTCCGATTAAAAACAGATATAAGTGCAATGGAAGCACATTTAAGACAAGGAGACAAGGTATTAATATTTTGTTTTAAGTGACCCGGAATATCCTTTTGAGAAATTATAAATTCTGAACATTGTAAGGACTACTAATTTCTTCTTTTATAGGTTAACTATAATTTTTATTTTTGTCATCATGATTAGGGAAAAACATGCAAATTAAATTATATTTAGCTTATTTTAACAATGTGCCATTTTAGAATAAAACTTTTAATATTTAGAAAAGAAACCTGGGTTTTTAATAAAGTAGAACAAATCAGAAGAAAAAGAATAATTTATTGTTTTTTAAGAGTTGAAAGGAAAGCTCCGTTTAATGATCAAGCAATTGTTAATATAAAATTAGGGATGGACGGGATTGAATTTTTAGTTCGGGACGGGACGGGATGGGATTTTTATTTCCTTCCCAATTTTCGGGACGGGACGGGACGGGATTTTTTCCTGTGCATAAAAAGAAAGTACTGTATTGCAGTTACCAAAAAAGACATACAAAATCAATTTTTACCATTTTGTGGCACTGATCTATAAAAGCCAAAAAATTGGTAACAATTTACAGGTATCTATAGTAACTTGTGACTCGCGGGTCACGGGGTGATCGTCTGTATGACTCACGGTCACGGCGCGATCGTCGTCATGACTCGCGGTCACGGCGCGATTGTCGGTATGACTTTGCGGTCACGGGGTTATCGTCGGTATGACTCCTCGGTCACGGGGTTATCGTCGGTATGACTCCGCGGTCACGGGGTTTTCGTCGGTATGACTCCGCGGTCACGGCATGATAATCGGTATGACTCGCGATCACGGCTCGATGGTCAGCATGACTCCGTGGTCACGGCGCGATCGTCGTCATAACTCGCGGTCACGGCGCGATCGTCGGTATGACTCGCGGTCACGGCGCGATCGTCGTTATGACTCCGCGGTCACGGGGTTATCGTCGGTATGACTCGCGGTCTCGGCGCGATCGTCGGTATGACTCGCAATCACGGCTCGATCGTCAGCATGACTCCGCGGTAAAGGGGTTATCGTCAGCATGACTCCGCGGTCACGGCGCGATCGTCGGTATGACTCGCGGTCACGGCGCGATCGTCGTTATGACTCCGCGGTCACGGGGTTATCGTCGGTATGACTCGCGGTCTCGGCGCGATCGTCGGTATGACTCGCAATCACGGCGCGATCGTCGGTATGACTCGCGGTCACGGCGCGATCGTCGGTATGACTCGCGGTCACGGCGCGATCGTCGGTATGACTCGCGATCACGGCTCGATCGTCAGCATGACTCCGCGGTCACGGCGCGATCGTCATGACTCGCGGTCACGCCGCAATTGTCGGTATGACTCGCGGTCACGGCGCGATCGTCGGTAGGACTCCGCGGTCACGGCGCGATCGTCGGTATGACTTCGTCTCCTGCGTTCGCGGACCTATCGCTCGCAATAACGGCGTTATCGGCACTCGCGAAGCGGAAAAATCGCCGACGATCGGACCAAATCCCGTCCCGAAAAATTCCCGAGTCAAATGTAATCCCGTCCCGATAATCGGGAATATTTTTTTCCCAAAAAATTCCCGAAATTTCGGGACCCGTCCATCCCTATATAAAATCCAAGTTATACAAAATGATTCTAATTTATTTCCGTATATAGAAATGTAAAATCACCTAAAATATGATTATATTTTTGGTAGTTATTATAAAAATACAAAAGAAAAACAGTAAATTTAACCATAGTTTATAACAGATTTTGCAGTAACGGATTTTACGAAGAAACAAATTTTAATATAAAAAAATTCGATAAACTAATATATTTTGCTACGAGTTTTTTGAACATATTATGTTTGGCAGTTTTGTACATGGTGCAACTGACGTAGCTCGAAATGTTTTGTTCACTTTTGTGCAAAGTTAGTTACATTGATCAGTTTGTGATATAAAGTCCATTCATGTTGATAACATTTAAGTATGAAATATTATATTTCAATTGATACACATATTATACAGGGTGTTTATAAAAGAATGCCGGGATTTTAAAAGGTCGTTGCTCGGAGACTATTCAAGATAATTAAATGATTTAAACATTAAATTAAAGGTAAAAGAAGGAAGTGTTTCTCATACTTTGATATAATTCAGAATAATTTAAAAAAATTCTGATTTTCATCAATCTAATATGAGCGTAAAACTGGCTAAGTCAGTACGCTTAGGGCGATACCTGATGTCAACGGAATCTTTTTAGGCACAAAGACTCTATCTTTTACAGATAACAAGTGTTGATTTAGGTATGTCATCGCTTGTTTTTAGCCGCCCAGGTGATTGTCTTTTCAAAACTCTATGGTGCCACGAAACTCATTAAACCGGCGTCAAATTTATTTATCATCAAGTAGATTTAAATTAAGTTTAATTTAGCAATCGATATAAACTCAGTGAACCACAGATTATACGCAGTGCCTTCTGTTGCGCCGTAAACATTGCACGAGCAAGTACCCTACCCCCCCCCGCACCTGTTTTGCGCATGCCAAGGTGAAGGTGGGGGGGGGGGGGGGTTGAAGTTTCCTACCTTACTACACGGGAAACAAGACTTAGTTATTTTAGCTTCAATTTGACGTATAAAACGTTTATTGAATAGTATCCAAGCAATTACCATTTTAAATCCCGGCATTCTTTTATAAACACCCTGTATTTAACAATAGTTTTAGCCATTTATTTGGAGTGAAAAGAACCTTAAAAAGTCATTATTATTGTCTCTGCCACTACAGACACCAACTAAGTTACCGCAACTATTACAGTCACACTGCCATTTGTTGGGTTAAATTAGGCAAATTTACACTTTACTAATACTTCTGATAAATATGATACATATTTTAAACATACAAATCATCCACATGGAGCTTTGCCTGTAGTTATTGTGGAAAATATCATTGCACATTCTTATATCATTATGGATCATTATTATTTAATATCATTGTGGATTCAGATTGATTGTTGAGATATTTTAAAATGTATTAATGTGAAAGTTATCAAAAGTGCACCTGTCTGTTGGGTAAATGGGTGAAGTGGAAAATATTGATTTTACTGCTGTACCCACATTTAGAATGTAAAATTTGGAAAAGATCAAGTGTTAAACACTAAAAAAATATTTTGAAGTAGGCTAATATGCTGATTCAACTTTTGTATAGCCTATGTAATATGTCAAATTTAGCAAATACCTGTCCTGTCATAGTTAAACTGTAGGCTAATGAGGATGACCTAAGTTATTAAAGCTCTCAAACTAGATGGATTCATAAGATTTAAATTAATGTGTTTTTAATTTTCAGGAAACACAACAGATCACACAACGAAACAACAACCTCAACGAGTATTATGAGAGTTTGCGGAATAACGTGATCACCCTGTTGGAACATGTTAGGATACCAAACGGTTCTACTGGAGGTCCTCCGGAGAAAATGACGCATGACAACTTTGACAGCTACTTGAGTAGACTACAAACATTGTGTGGTAGTGGAGTGGAGGGGTCGGCGTACTGTGATGAAAACAACCGACCTATCTACGAAACAGTGAAATCTGCATTGCAAGACTTTACTGTGCTACCGACACCCATTTGAGCTTCCTCCTGGCAATCCTCCCGCCCTGTGTAAAGCGTTGAATGTACATCTGTATCATAGTTTTATACTTGATAGACTGTATATTGTAGTGATCATTGTACGTCTAGGTATTGTATGTATGTAAGCTGAATTTGTAAATTGGATCTGGATTCTGTTCCCATTTAAGGTACCATATGTAGTTTTTGTTACTTTACTGTCAATAGTGTATAGAATATTGTTATGTTTATGTTTGTTGTTATGCAGTGAATATTCTGGCTTAATGAAGTTTCATTCGTGAAAGAAGTTAGAATCATTAAACAGTGTTGGCAATATTTTATTGTTTAGATTTAGTCTCTTTATAACCTTTTTTTAGTGTACATTTTTGCAGGTTTTCTTTAAGCAATTTTGTTGATCAGGAATAGTATTGTAATCTATGATTTGTGAATCAGGGAATATTACTGTATTTGATGGTATATTTATAATACTATGCAGTGCTGGATTTACCACTGCCGCGGCCTAGGGCCGTAAGCATAAGGAAGCCGCAGAGGATTGACAAAAAACATTTTTCAGAACAAATTTTAACTTTTTTAAACCATCAGTTTGCCGGGATTGCAGATGACGACAATAATGTCGCCGTGATTGCGGCCTGCGGGAGATACTCATGATTTTGCCGTAGTCGCGAGTGTCGAAGATTATCTCCCCGTAGTTGCGCCCGTTCCCACAGGGTAAATTCTTATTTGATGTTCACAATTTTGCCGCAGTTAAGTTTTGATCATGTCCCAAGGGTTGCCCATCTCCCATCTCTAAAGCTCATGTCGCAGAATCCCCCCCCCCCCCAAATTTGTTGTTTAACCCATGCCGGGAGGTCTGGTGCATGGTGACTAAACCATAGTTAAAATAGGAAAGAAGTGTCCTCGACACTTCTTTAAATTACATTGCAAATTTATGGGAACAAGCTGTTGGCCCGTCCTATGTACGGGAATCGAGTAGTCCATTAAAACTGTGTATAGTTATATCATTATTTCTATTGACGGAATTGGGAATCCTTTAATTATATAAAACATGTTATTCTATAATAAAAGGGGTTAGGAGGCTGGTGGGATTTTTCAGTCGTGTTAAGCATAGGATGCAACCGCTTGAGAAACATATTGAGTAGGACTCTAGTAGCAAACCATTTGTTAGGTTAATTTTACTTTAACCAAATTGGATTTTCATAAAACAGCTGGACAGTTTGCTTCCAGTAAACCAATTTATATTTTGATGGAACCATAGATAATTATCCTAAACATCTCATATAGTTTACATACTTCACCAACAATTATTTTCATGGAAATGTTACAGACAAGTCAACAGGAGCAGTTGAAAGAAGTAGATTACTTAAACTTATCATACAACCAAGAGGCCTTTAGTAGCACTGTATTTTATTTAATGTAAGAATAATTTATTAGTAGAATAATATATTTCCTAAAAGGCAATGAGTTCATTTGAGAAATGATTTCATAATGAACGGTAAAAACAAACTGCAAACTGCAGATAAAATTTAATAAGCCAACCATAATCCTTTGACAGCAGTTGTCAGTTCTACAGACAGCAGTGTTTCTCACTGTCAATCATGATACGAGTGCAAAAGTGGAAATCCAAATAAATGTATTTATATTTTATAGCCATTATAAAATGATTTATTTAATAAGATAAAATGTCAAATGGGATTTTGATTGCATAATTACCCCAGTAATAAATTAAGGGAGTCGTACAAATTATCTGATAAATCTTTTATGTGCTTCTAACCAACCAATGGCTTGAATCCCCCAAAATCATAAAATCCCTCCCAAAAATTTCCTGATGTAGCCGATTGAGACATAAAACCCCCCTGTGGGCACCCCTGGATGTCCCTGTAATTGGGGCCCGGGGAAGAAGTTCTTGATTTTGCGACGAGTGTCGATGATGTCCCTGTGATTGCGGCCCCCGGGAGATGTTCACGATTTTGCTGCAGTCGTGGGTGAGGATGATAATGATGTTGGTCATGGGAGATTTTCACGATTTCACCGCTATCTCGGGGACTTTCCACCACAGTGGTGGAGGCCGCTCATGTAATTTGGCCTAGGGCTGTAAGTACCTAAATTCCGACACTGATAATACGTACATTGCTTTCCAATCAGACTGAGCAGTATCAAAGTCTTTCGGTAGTGAAAAATTTACTCAAACAAAAAATACATTTTAAACTAACTCCAAATCATTAAAACAAATTTTTATGATATTTTGTGCATGATAAATTGAATTTGGTTTTAGTTTTACTTTTAAAACTTTTTAAAGTACTTAGACTCTTCAAGAGTTTATACCTACCATAATTTATAAACCTACCAAATACTAGTCTTTAATGGATGTATGATTTAATTTAGCCTGTGATATTTTCTAATGCCCCACAACATCTTGTGTGTACATCTTGTGTTGTATGTAAGTTCTTTTTTGTGTCATTTGTACTTATAAAGCGTACAATGTTTTTGTGCTGTGAAAATTCTAGTCACAAAATTAGTAATTAATTGTAAATTGAAACTGATGTATTAGTTTTAAATTTTAAAATATTACTTACCATTTTGGTTTTGTTGTTTTGTTATTTATTTTTCATGTCAAGAGATTCACTATTTACTGTTAAAATTGGATGTTGAGCGTTAAAGATAGAACTAAACGTTTTGTAAAATAACTGATTTAGAACGATTTTGTTTTGAATATAACTTATGTTTGTGCAAATCAAATGAGCATTTGGTTACTTGTATAAGTGTCATGATGATTTGTTATTGTACATGAACAGTTGTTGTATTTATGTGAATATTACAAAATTACATATGCTTACGAATACCATAGTGAATAAAGATCACATCTTCATAGGAGTTTTACTTTCTACGACTTATGACATACCGGTGTCATATTCCAAATTTGTAAAGCTACTTCAGTACATTTCGGTGTAAGGTATGTTTCACAAATAAAGAGACTTTAAATTGTACTGGAAAGTTTTGTCAATTCCTCACCTTGTATATCTCTATGCATGCCATTCGTGGTAAAATGATAGTTACACAGCATTGGTGATTTCCTCCTAGAAAAATCTATTTATCACATAATTATAGTTTTTTTTTTTTTTTTTTTTTTTTTTTAGAAGTGGTGAAGGAAGTAGTAAAGGTGGAAGTAGTCTGGAGTGTGGAAACTGTTTATGACGATTAGATTAAGGTATCTGCAATCCTAAAATGCTATTGGAAGGGAAGGAAACAGGTCCGCGATGTAGGAAGTTGTGAAGGAAGTAGTCAAGGCGAGCTGTCCGGAGTGTGGGAACTGTTTATGACGATTAAATTAAGGGATCTGCAATCCTAACATGCTATGGGAAGGGAGGACAACAGGTCCGAGACGTAGGAAGTGGTGAAGGAAGTATTAAAGGTAAGCAGTCTGGAGTGTGGAAACTGTTTATGACGATTAGATTAAGGTATCTGCACTCCTAAAATTCTATGGGAAGGGAGGAAAACAGGTCCGCGACGAAGGAAGTAGTAAAAGCGAGTTGTTCGGAGTGTGGGATCTGTTTATGACCAATAGATTAAGGTATTTGCGATCCAATAATGCTAAGGGAAGGGAGGGAAACAGGTCGGTGACGTAGGAAGTGGTGAGGGAAGTAGTAAAGGCGAGCAGTCCGGAGTGTTGCAACTTTTTATGACGATTATATTAAGGTATCTGCAATCCTAAAATGCTATGGGAAGGGAGGAAAACAGGTCCGAGATGTAGGAAGTGGTGAAGGAAGTAGTCAAGGCGAGCTGTCCAGAGTGTGGGAACTGTTTATGACAATTAGATTAAGGTATCTACAATCTTAAAATGCTATGGGAAGTGAGGGAAACAGGTCCACAACGTAGGAAGAGGTGAAGGAAGTAGTAAGGTGAGCAGTGTGGAGTGTGGGAACTGGAAACCGTTTTTAACAGTTAGATTAATGTATCTGAAATACTGAAATGTAATGAGAAGGGATGGAAGCATGCCCATGACATAGGAAATGGTGAAAGAAGTAGGTAGTAAATGCTAGCAGTGCGGAGTGTGGGGAATGTTTGTGGCAATTAGATTAACGTATCTAAAATACTAAAATCCTATGGAAAGTGATGAAAACAGGTCCACGATGTAGGAAGTGGCTAGGAAGTAGTAAAGTATGAGTATAGTGTGAGAACCGTCTGTGGCAGTTAGATTAATGTATCTTCAATCCTAAAATGCTATGAAAAGGGAAGGAAACAGGCTGGCAGTGCGAATGGGGGAACTATTTGGGCAGTTAGATAAATTAAAAATACAGAAACTATATTACGTCTAATAACACTTGCAATAATATACACTTATGCTGTTGACTTACAAGACGGTAAATACATGTAAAAGTTGGTAAGTGGTGATCGATTTCGATTGGACACTCCAATCATCATCAGACCCAATAGGCGAATAGATTCGCAAAACGTTACTTTCAGCCACCAATTAACGTATGTAAAACAGCTAAAAACATCATAGTGTGGGGAAAAAATCGTTACCATACTTTTACATTACCATGAATTAATTATATGCATACAGAAACAAACGGAGTCATACTTATTGTGTATTTTAATGTAAATTTCTTGTATCCATGAAACTGATAATTTACCCAGCACATTAAGGCCTTTAATCCAAGTATCTAAGTTCGTAACGTAAACCATACATACAATGTGACGATAAAATATCAACGACATAGCATGTAGTTTTATCATGTAATCCTCATGACATTTCATTTGGTCCATTGACTTTAAATCCAATAATTGTCAAAATTATTGGAGGTTGGAAAAAACTGCATGTAAAAAAATCGTTACACTAATAAAAGACGACGTGATGAGCGCGGTCAATGAGCTACAGTGGCTAGGGCATAGCCACATGAATACAGAACGGAATGAAGGAACTAGAACGGAGAACTGGCAACAGCGCACGCGAGAAGTAGGGGGGGCGAACACAGGAACACACCAATTAGTTTAACGAGTACTTTTGGTTTGCTGCAACAGGGAGGGTAAAAAAGATTTTTTTTATAAAATGATAATAGTTTAGTAAGAAATTAAAGTATTTTCCAAAATCGATCAAAATATGTTCATAAACAAGCAAACTACAACCATAGATGAAGTAATATAAAATTCTATGCTACAACTAACAGTTGACTTATTCTCCATAAGAATAACATGGGAATTTTAAAATTACAATTTTTTTGAATTTTCTCCGTAACAATTAGGCGCATAATAACGCTTCAATATACTAAATTATTTGTTTTTTTAAGCTCTACAAAATGGTTTAAAAAGAAATTGTGAAATTTTGTGTTTTTAGGGTCAAAAATGAAAAACCTATTTTTACCCCATAGAACCCCCTATAAACCCCCGTTCCCATAGTCCGATTATGCTGGTTCGCGAACTAATTCAAGTTTATCCGCCTTACACCTTCAAACTAAATTTTATCATAATCGGACAAAAATTACTCAAGTTATCGTGCGGATGGACACACACATATATATCTGTATATAGATATATAAAAATTTGAACGAATGGTGTTTTTGGCCTCTGGGGACATCAAAATGAAAAAGTAAATCGGTCCCGGGCTTAGGTCTTACCATGAAACCTACGGTAATAGCTACTTCCCTATAGGGAAATTCGCTAAAAGGATAATATAAAATTCCAATGTTATTCTTATAGAGAAAATGAAAACTGTTGTAATTTACTTGTTTATGGATATATAATGATAAAATTTGACAAATTTATTTATTTCATCCTATACTATTGACGTATGGTCAAAACCCACTTTTTATCTTCCTCGTAGCAGCAAACCTAAGCACTCGTTAAATCTAATGTTATTTAAATTGGGAATAAATATGTCTTATTTGAGTGAAAATTTAAAAACGTACGTTTTCAGGAAAAGCACTTTGCAAATTTTTTTCCCTTTTTTTAAAACTTTTATTATTCTTTTTATTTCATTAACATTTGAAGTTTCATAAAATGTCCATGGTAACGCAATATCTTGGTAGTTATTTTTTTAAAGAGCATCTTTAGTGGAAAAACACAAAATCTTGTCACGACCATAACGGACGTTTAAATGAATATTAAAAATAGTTAATATTATTTTTATAACTATGTTTTGCTATAAACTAATTTACTTTTAAGACCATTATACAATAAAAAGGTCACTAAGCTTTTG